AGAGACAGCAAGAAACTCTTGAAGGCAGAAAGAAGCAGAATAAAATTTAGGAAAAAAAAGAAGAGAGCCAGAGAATTCTGATCTATTCTGAAATTTTATCAAGAGTTAGGCCCAGTTCCTTTCTTGAGAATTTGGAATTGGGACTGAGATGCTGGTTCAGTTTAGGTTCATTTATTCATTCATTCATTCATTCACTCCATAAACATCTGTTGAACACTTATTACATGCCAGGCACTGTGTTAGGAGCTAGAGATTTGGCAATGAAAAAAAAAAAGAGAAAGAAATAAAGAAAGAAAAGAAAAACTGGCAAAATTATATGGATCTGCAGTCCCCAACTACCCGGGCCATGGACCAAGGTCCACACCTGTTAGGAATCAGACTGCATTATTGACTAAGCTCCTCACTCCACCTCCCCAGTCTGTGGAAAAATTATCTTCCATGAAACTTAGGAACCCCATGCACAGAAGGAGGTGAGCAGTGGGTGAGCGGCAGGCAAGCAAGCAAAGCTTCATCTGTTATCTGTATTTACAGCCCTTCTCCATCGCTGGCATCACCGCTTGAGCTCCACCTCCCCCACTGAGCTCTGCCTCCCACCTCCAAAAAAGGTTGGGGACCACTGATGGAAGTTCTATTACAAAGAAGGTCTATATCTACAAATGAGAAATGGAGCAGTTAGGCTGAGGTTCTCCAGATGTTTTGTAAAAGGTGCCCTTCCTTTGTTTTTCTAAGCCTAGAGATGAAGAGCTGGCAATAAGGTCCTGGGGGAAAAGGAAGCATACTGAGAAACAGGGAAAAGTAATGGCTACTGACCAGAAATCTCTTAGACACATTTGAGAACAACTAGCTGGTCCTGACATACTAATTTTTTTTAAATTTCAGAATATTACAGGGGTACACATGTTTTGGTTACACAATTTGCTTTTGTACAGTTTGAGTCAAACTTGTGAGTGTGTACTTCACCCAGATAGCATGCATTGTACCCTTTAGGTGTGAATTTACCCATCCCCTCCTCACTCCTCCCACCTATTTGACTTCCATATGTTCACATAAGTGTTGGTTGAGTTCCAATGTAGTATTGAGTACATGTGGTCTTTGTTTTTGTATTTTTGTGGTACGTCATTTAGAAGAACGGTCTCCAGTTCCATCTAGGTTGTTACAAAAGATACTAGATCACCATTTTTTTTTTATGGCTGAGTATGACTCCATGGTATACATATACCACATTTTATTAATCTACTCATGGGTTGTTTCCACATCTTTACAATTGTGAATTGTGCTGCTATAAACCTTTGAGTGCAAGTGTCTTTTTTATAAGATGTCTTTTTTTTCCTTTGGGTAAATGCCTAGTAGTAGGATTGCTGGATCAAATGGTAGGTCTACTTTTAGTTCTTTGAGGTATTTGCATACTACTTTCCAGAGAGGTTGTACTAGTTTTGCAGTCCCACCAACAGTGAGTAAGTGTTCCTTTCTCTCTGCATCCACACCAGCATCTGTTGTTTGGGACTTTTTGAATAAGAGCCATTCTCACCGGAGTTAGGTGATCTAATCGTGGTTTCGATTTGAATTTCCCTGATAGTTAGAGACGTTGAGAATTTTTTCATGTGTCAGTAGGCATCACTTTACCAGACTTTAAACTATATTACAAGGCTATAGTAACTAAAACAACATGGTACTGGCACAAAAACAGGGACATAGATCTAGGGATCAGAACGGAGAACCCAGATATGAAACCATCCTCATATTGCCA